CTATGTTGTTTTAACAATATGCTTTGCCTTTGACCTACATTTCTTCTATGACAGGTATAGTAGAAGCCATTTTTTAAAAATATGCAGCAACTAGCCAGGCACCAGTGGCTCATGCCTGTAACTAGCCACTCAGAAAACTGAGATCTGAGGATTATGTTTCGAAGCCAGCCTGGGCAGGAAAGTCCATGAGACTCTTAGCTTCAGTAAACTACTCAGAAAAAAGCCAGAAGTGGCGCTGTGGCTCAAATGGCAAAGAGCACAGAGAGGTTCAGGGACAGAACCCATGCCCTGAATTCAAGCTCCAGGACCTGCAAAAAAAAAAAAAAAAGCAGCAAATTATTATTAGAACTCTGCCACTTTTTTATGTTAATTTGTACAGCACTTTTTTCTTAGTTAACGGTTTAAGACTTCAGCTATTTGAGTCTAATTTCATCAATATTGTAAGCTCTGTTAGTAAATGTTCCCCTTTGGGTCTTGCAAATAATTTCTGGCAGAAACTCAGTTGTTTCTGAGCTGAGTTTTTTTCTGAACCTCAGTGTCTTACTATAATAAGTGCCCCATACATTACTATTACTCTATCTTTTACTCCCATTTGAATTCCAGTTTTCACCCAACTAGTAATTAAAACTCTACAGAATACCACAGTAACCATTATTTGAGGGTTTCATTTGTGTTGGTATTTGTTTTCATTTTAACAAAAGGTTTACAGGTTATTGAAACTAGGTATTCCACCACTTCACAGCTTTAATTATAAAGATAGTCAGAGGTTGAGCTACTATCACGAGGCAAAACCAATTGCCTTTGTACTTAACTTTTCCATGATGACCATCTTTCTTGTGGAGTATTCTCTCTGTTATTGTCTTGCCAATCCATTTTTTATTGTTGACTTGGATATTGTGAGACCAAATGTTACCTACCTTCTCTACCACTCTGATATTAGTAATGAAGATTTCCTGTCCTTTGTATGTATTTCCACAAGCAATTTTGTGAAGTTCCTGTTCTTCGGCCTGAAACTTTTAAATTTGTTATGAGCCTCGTCCAAAAGTGAATTATTTTCATCTTTTTTGAATGGCCAAATCCCAAAATGAATGTTTTAAAAAAAAGAAGCACTATAAGAAATCCTTCTATGACATAACCTCTAGGTTAGAAGATATTGAGGTTAATAGCAGGAAGAGGAGCATAGTGAATGAGCAGGTAAAGAATCAAATGCAGAGAATATACATTTTTAAAAATCAAATTCAGACCCCAGCAGGTCTCAGCCATCACCCCTGTTAGTATCATGACCTTGAACAAGTTACTCAATATTTTTGGTCCTCATGTATTACATCTATAAAACAGGAATGATACCATTACATTAAATATTAAATAAGGTATTTGTACAGGTGTATAATGAACATGTATGTTAGCACACCTATTATACAGAACTCAAACATAGGCAATGTTTGATGAATGGTCATTATTGTCAGTGATATGAGATAATTTCTAATAACTAAGGAGAGTTACCCACATCTTCTTGACATGAAAAGATTCTGTGTTAATTTATAACCCACTTAATCTACCTAATGTCTTCTTTGTCATTCTGTAAAGGAGTCAGAGCTCTGGTGTAGAGGAATGCCTCAGTTTACCTCCTCTTGGAGATTAAACGAGTGAATAGAAGAAAAACATACATTCTTTTAAAATAGGTCTGTTGACCAAATAACTAGACATCAAACATATTCTTACCGAAATGAGTTACTTCAATGAGAGCTTTTCCAGAGTGAATCATTTCTCCATGCAAACTATCACCTTATTTGACATGATTAGCTTTATGAGAACGACCAAGACTTAGTTCTTCTGGGTGAAGATTTCTGTATAGCTTCAGGGTTCACTCTCTGGAACAAGTACACAGTGAAGGTCATATCTTCTATGTGCTATGTTCTGTGCCATCTTTCTCATAATTTCCTTTTCATCTTCCCACTGACACTAGAGATCGACATTAATGCTTCTTCCTCTGGTAGATGAGAAAACTGAGATCAGAGAAGTCAAATCACTTGCCCAAAATTGAGTGTGAGAGAGGAAATGAATAGCAACTGAGGGTTCCCCAGTTCCATTTTACCATAGTTATTTGTTCTTTAGTGTCAGTTGCTTGTCAAAGTAATTTTGAGTGACTTTACTGTTGTAGAAACATTTCTGAACAGGATTCAGTGTTTCACAGTAGCCCCATCAGCATCAGGTCCAGTTACCTATTGGGAGCAAAACTGTGGGGATTTTATGGGAAGAATTTATATCCTATAAGAAAAGCCCTTGGCAAAGCAACTGAGAATGAGAATAAAAGAGAATACGAAACCAACTGTAGTGTTTAGACTTGCAAAATACCTTTGAAAGGTTAATGTTGTATTTTTCTGAGATGGGGAAATTCTTTGATCTTGATGCCTTAAAAAAAAAACCCCAACAATGCAAGAATATAGGGGCATTTCTATGGATGTTATAAATAATGCTGCTGCAAGTACTCAACACTGGGACCACACTTACTTAGCATATATATAAATCATCTGAAAGAAAGAGTACACAGTGAAATATCCAGATTTGCAAAAATCTGCTAAGCTCTTCCAGGTAGTGAAATGTCAAACTGGCTAATATAAATGCAGAAAGACAACACAGCGTACGTGAGTGGGCAAAGGGATGGCATATGGGCCTCTGCATGGATGACAACAGTAAGATAAAGGAATTTAGAGAGAAATAAACCATTCTTTCAAAATTAAAGGGTTTTGAACTGTCAGCTGTAGCAAACATTAATAGATGTTATAGTGTGTACCTTTGTCTCTAGTTACTCCAACTGCAGCTAAAAAATAGCCAGGTATGCTTAGAAAGAACATTTTTAAAGGAGCATTAGAAGCTGAAAGCAAGCTGGTGCTGGTGGTATATGCCTGTAGTCCTAACTACTAGGAGGCTGAGATCTGATTATTGCGATTCAAAGCCAGCCAGCTTGGGCAGGGAAGTCTGTGAGACTCTCCAAATAACAAACAAAACAACTCAGAAGTGGATAGGTGGCTCAAGTGGTAGAGCACTAGCCTTGAGCAAAGAAAAAAAAAAAGCTCAAGGATGGCACCCAGACCCTGAATTCAAACCTCAGAACCTGCACAGAGAGAGAATAGTGTCCTATGCCTATGCTCAGGCATAAAACCATGGTTCACTTATACCTAGAATATTATAAACCATTTTTCAACAACCTTAAGCAGCTGTAATAGGGTAGAAGAAGGTCCAAAGAAGGCCAAGTAAAATAATTTATGGGAAAGAAGAGCTGCTTTGTGAAAACATACTCGCAGAGAGTAAGATTCATCAACCTGGGAAGACGAAAGTTTACCGAGGCAATGTTGTAAAGGCATGGGGATGTGGTGCAGGTGGATGCTTGTCCCAGTTAACATTCATCATCTCATCATCACTAAAGGCATGGGGCAGAGGGTGAGTGAAAAAGGAACAGGGTATAGGGCCACTTGAAAATTTAAATCAATTTAGACAAAAAAGCCAATAGGTCAACAAATAATAATTCAATGCAGCACAATATATGTGCCAAAGAAATGCTTGTTTTCTACTGTAACACTTGTAGAGAGGGGAAACAGTTTTTTCCCTATTGAGAAACTACTTTGGAAACTAGTTGCATATCAAGAGTTGTTATAGCCGGGCACCGGTGGCTCACACCTGTAATCCTAGCTACTCAGGAGGCTGAGATCTGAGGATCAAGCTTCAGAGCCAACCTGGGCAGGAAAGCCCGTGGAACTCTTATCTCCAGTAAACCACCAGAAAGCCAGAAGTGGCTCTGTAGCTCAAGTAATATTGTGCTAGCCTTGAGCTGAAGAGCTGAGGGACAACGTTCAGGCCCAGAGTTCAAGCCCCACAACCGACCAAAAAAAAAAAAGAGTTGTTATATCCTGGAATCACAAACATAGTCACAGAAGGGGTAAATACATTTTTAGTGGATTCATAATATTTCAAAAGTTGGCAGTACTTTAAGACAGCACCAAATCTTTATATGCCTTGGAGTTAAACAGCTTTGAAATTGGGAAAACCTGATCGATATCTTAGAGCATGCACAAATTTCACTTTCACATGTTTGGGAAGACTGAAAAGAGTAGCATTTGTAAAGCACCAGGAACAGGTCTGGGGATTAAGACTGAACAGTTCTTAGTTCCATTGAATGTGGGGACTGCTTAAGAGATGGGGAAGCATCTTTCCATGAGGACCACATATGAACTGAGGGATGGGAAGTCGCTGGGGACTTACTTGCACATCTCTGGAGGAGCTTTCCAAGCAGACGGACAAACAGAGGTAGAATCTCAAAGGCAAGAATGAATGTGGGCATTCAAGCAGCCCCTGTGACTGAACATCTTGTGTGCAGGGAAGAGAATCAAGGGCATGAGAGAGAAAGATGGAGACAATCAGGCTTTTTACCTGTGAGCCAAGTAGGAACTAGTTCTTGTTCCAAGAGCAGTAAGAAGCCTCAGGAGAGTTTTCAGCTGGCGTGGGGGTGGGCAGATTCATTTTGTTTGGTTTGGTTTTATGCCAATATCAAGGTTTTAACTCAGGCCCTTATATTTTCACATGACTTTTTCACTGATACTCTACCAGTTGAGCCATGCCAGGTCCAGCTTTTTGCTGATTAAATGGAAGTAATACTTTCAAGATTCGGTCAGGTTGGTTTTAAACCAAGATTCTCAGAACTCAGCCTCCTGAGCAGCTGGGGTTATAGGAATGAACACCTGCACCAGTACCTGGCTTAGCTTGAATTTTTGAAGGGTCTCTTGGCTGTGGACTCTAGGCAGCAGAAGTTCAGGGATACTGACTCTACTTCCTTTTTCTACTTTCCAACTTCCTAGCTTTGGCCCTGAGGGTACCCCCTGACTTCACATCTTATCTGTCACTGAGAAGAGCTAACTTTGGACATTCATTCCTCATGTTTTAGGACATGCAAAAAATATTCTTTTCTCAGATTAAATAGTTAACCCAAATATGTGTTGTTTCAGGTTTTAAAAATCAGTTTGATTGGCCACAGGAAACGCATTTTGGCTTCTCTCGGAGACAGGCTGCACGAAGATCCTCCACAGAAGCCCCCTCGGTCCATCACCCTCAGGGTAAGTGACACCGTGTTCATTCAGTTCTCCGCCTATACCTCAAAAGGTTCTTAGTGCAATAAAATGACTAAAGCAATGGACCAGTACTCAGTACAGAAAACAATTTCCCTTTTGATTATATTTTAATAAAGTAAGATTTGGCCTTCATAATTACTTAAATGTATATACACTGGAGTGTCAGAAGTACATCTGTAATAGAATTCAGTCTGACAAATCACCACCCTTAAAGAATCACTCCCTCACCTCCAGTCCCACACTCCCATCTATGCAGAGAGAGGAAATGAGTTTTCTGTCAGGCTCCTCAAACCCACAGAAAGGAAATTGATCAAAGACCACAGTTAAGTAAAGATCAATTTAAAATTAACCTCAGGGCCCTCTGTTTTTCCAGAATTGAAAATTGACCATTTTTTACCCACTTTAAAAATTAAGAATAGGGAGTCTAAAACTTTAATAAGCTACATGTATATCTTGCAGCTATATTTTAGAATTATGGGAAGAAAACTTAGAAACTGTAGAAGATAGGCAAAAGCAGGAAGGAAAATGAGAAGGAAGGGCAGAGAATGAGAAGTCAAGAGAGATGGTTTCTAAAGAGATGTCAGTGGCAAGGGAGTAGACTGACGGTCCCTGGTTTTCATGAACCCTACAAGATCTTTTCTAAAATTGATCCAAAAGCTAGGGTTTCCTTGGCAAGGTGTTGATTCAGCTCTGTTCACTCTGCTTGCTTTTTGATTCCTGTCTCTAGCAAGCATCAGAAAAGGTAGAAAAGGTAGGGGTGATAAATGGTGAGGGTGAAACATGACCCTTAGACACAAATGCCCAAGGAGAAATGCCTCTGATTAGTGAATTTGAACAAATGATAGATTGATGTCAGCATAGCAAAGGGTTCCACAAGACAGGAACTGTCATAAAGTTGAGTTCGATTCAGCTTTGAAGAAGAAAATAAAGTTTCCATGAAATCCAAAAGAATTGGCTGCAGGAGAGAGTCAAGAGAATAAAATGATCCCAGTGAAGAGAATGGGATATATGCAGGCTACTTGAGGGGCATGAAGCAATAGACTCATTTTTCTCCCTCTAGGATGGGCACCTCCAATAGATTGGGTAGAGGGGAGTAAATGAGGCTGGAAGAGGCGTACTGTCTTGCTAGCTCTCGCTATCTGGAAAGGAAGGAAGCTGTAGGCACCATTGATGTAATTCTCCTGAAATTACTCCTTGGAGGAATGATTTCCAGCTTCCTTTACCTGCTTCCTGACCTTTCCTTTCTGAGCCTCCCACTCTGACTCCCCAGAAGAAACTTGGGGGAACAAAAAACTGATCAAAGACAGAAATTTCCCAGCTAAAGTAAGCTTGCTCAGCCAAAGGCAGTCTGGGACATCTCAGAGAGAATGGCCTGGAGAATCAGCTGATTGAAAGCACCAAAGCTCAGCCTCTTATTTTACTTCTGGCCAATTTCCAGCTGGCGTTGTCTTTGCCATTGAAAAGCATTTTCTGTCCTTTATATGCATTGCTCTGCGGTCTCTATATGTTGTGTGACATGCTGTGTTGCCGTACTGTGTCCTCTTCCTGGCCCTATCATCAGACCACTCTTTGGTGAAGCTTGGGACCCATTAGGTCCCATTTTAGCTTCTCATCCCTGCATTTACCCTAGTGAAGACATCCTGCCCACAGTTTCTTCCCTTGTAAACACACACACACAGTAGTGTCTGGGTGCCAAACGAAGGTTTTCCTCCCTCCTGTAATCATCCACAGTGCTGGTTTAAGAAAATAGAGCCTTATTCTTTGTACTTTAAACCTCTAACCTGAAATACTTGGGATGGAGGGGGGTGTGTATTGACATGATCTTGTTATTTATAGAGTAAGTGGTAGAGTATCATTCATTCCTTGGAAGTTGATTCATAACTCTTCACTCTCAGCTTGTCTTGTTAGTATTTCAAAATTTTGAAACCAAAGGTTAGCCATGAGCGCATGGTATTTATTTCATGATGTATTTCCATTCAGGAACCCAGTGGTAATCACACTCCTCCTCAGTTGTCTCCATCACTTAGCCAAAGCACTTACACCACTGGTGGCTCCCTAGACGTTCCTCACATTATCATGCAGGGCGATGCAAGGAGGAGAAGAAATGAAAACTACTTTGATGATATTCCCCGATCAAAACTGGAGAGGCAGATGGCTCAGGTAAGGTACTCAAAGCCTCTGATATGTTTGCCTTTCACCTGTATCAGGTAATACCTTTAAAGATTTAACTGTAGCTCACAACAGAATTTTACCATTTTATAGTGTCTTTTCTTCTCTGCTCTCTTGAACTAGCTTGGAACAGACCTTCCTAAGGGATGAATATATACCTATATGGTCATTATCCATTCTAACTGAAGAAATCATGTCTAATCTCTGGTGCCCATGATATCTTTGCTCTAAAGGGATTAAAATTGTATCTGAATCAAGACATAATGAAAATGAATGATAAAATTTTAGATTTTAAGTGTAAATTGGTAAGATGATAGGGAAGAAGTTGGGAGGAGGGAGAATTAACTCCTTGTAATATTGCTAATTTCCTCCCAAGTTTACATGCTTGTATAGAATTGTCCTACTGGGACTAGTTGCATTGTGTAATATTGTAACCTTGAGGAGCTAAAGATGATGCTGACTGATAAAATAATTGAAAAGATTTGGCTCTGGTGGCTCACCCCTGTAATCCTGTCTACTCAGGAGGCTGAGACCTAAGGATTGAGGTTTCAAGCCAGTCAAGGCAGAAAAGCCAATGAGCTTCTTCAATTAACCACCAAAAAGCCAGAAGTGGAGCTGTAGCTCAAGTGGAAGAGCGCTAGCCTTGAACAAAGACACTCAGGGATAATGCTCAGGCCCTGAGTTCAAGCTCCACAACACACACACACACACACACACACACACACACGCACGCACACTGAAAAGAGCTTTTGTCACAGTCTGACTATTCCTGTTTGGTATGGGTATTCATTCTAGCCTGTCTTTGGATCTCTGCTCAGTAACTTAAGCCAACCATTGCCAAACAATGACACTGTTCCTAAGGCCCATTCAGATGGGTGCCTAGATCTACAACTTTGTCCTAAAATTCAAAGATATGGATGTATTGACAGCTACTGGCAAAAATCAACTCTTTTCATCCTTATTCTAGGTTCAGACGGATGTGCTAAGAGTCTTTTCTCTCCCTCCCACACCTAAGATAAGAATTTTGAGGTGAAAATTTGTCTGTAATTGCTTTGCCTTAGTTGTCATTTTTTTCCAATTGTTTGGTGAGTTGTGTTGTTTAAAAAAAAAAAACCTTTGCTAAACATTTTATGCTGCAGCTCAAGGAAGAAAAGTATGAAGAGAATGTTCTGGAAACCGTGGCTGTTCTGCCTGAGAGATGTCTTGGAGAAAGAGGATGTGGGATAGTATGTCTCCTTTCCAGTCTCTCAATACTGAATTGTTCTGAGGAAGTGGCAACATTAGGATTAGGATATCTTTTAGTGAAGGGAGATGAAAATGTAGGAGAGACAAGAAAAGAATAATCTTGTTCTGTTAGGTATTGTCTTTAAATCTGCATTATTATTTTCAGGGAAGTTTTCCTAAATAAGAAGTATGAAAGCCAGCTTCCACACCCTAGCTTAATTTCCTGGCATTTGTTAATAATTGTTATCAAATATGTGATCTATATACCTTATGGCAGCATTTCAGATATGTGGTTTGTTGTAACCTTGAACCATGTTATCTTTATATATTAACTGAAACTCAGTCTTTTCTGAACCCATCTTTCCTGGGTAAAACGGAATGGTTCTTTAATAAATATTACCTATTATTGATTGTGTCAACTTGAGTCATAGAATTCCTGTCTCAGCTGTTCCTATAATTTATGAAATTTATCCACCTAGGGTGTTTTTTCCAAAGAGGAATTAATTACACTTCTTCCTGTGTCTGAATACTCAGATGTAATCTAGCCAAATTGTGTCCTTATTTTCTTTCTGAGAATCCCAAGCAAGAGCAAGAATATTTTTTGAATAACCAAAATATTTTTAGTGTCACTTCAGTAAAAAAAAAATGCACCCCTTTTAGGAATTGTCTTGCCTTGAGAAAATTGAATGAACTTTTATCTGGCCAGGTAAGGAAAACCTGAAAGTGGACAGCAGAATGAGATGAGCAGTTTGATGGAATACAGCAAGCTGCAGCACAGCTGTGAGATGTGCTTATTTACTTCAGTCTGACTAACACCAATCGAATGACTAATAGAGACATAGGCTCTATTAGCATACTAGAAGGAGCATACTAGAAGCTTTCTGAAATCCTGCAGTTCAATATAGTACTTTAGCTGCAGAGAAAATGGGAGATGGCACTACAGGAATCTAATCCATAAGAAAAGAGGATTCTGGGATTGCACTTTTTAGGTTGTGTTAATTACAGTTTTAAAATTTGTTTGGGAAATGTTCTCTAGCCTGACATGGCCAAATATCATGGAGAAATGAATGCACACCTATTTTAATTAGTGTCACTGCAAAGCTTTAATGTGTCAAAATACGATATACTTGGTCATTTTGTTGTTGAACAGTTCACTTTTTTCTGTCCTTAGCCATTCAATTACTCTGTTTTTTTCTCCTTTTTCTTTCTTAGTTTTGGTCATTTGCTATTATAATTTTTGAAACCCACTTGCCTTTAGAACAATTTAAATACTACCTCTAAACCACATTTTTCCTTGGCACTGTATGTTGAGCTAATAAAGTTGAGTCTATAGGTTTGAATGAGCAAGTAAAATTCCTATAAGCAAGCAGCTTATCATACCTTCTCGCAACCCAGAGAAAAGTTTCTGTGCTTGTTTTCTGGGGGGTTTCTCCCAAAAGGCACACTTAATGTGGGTTAATACTTGGAAAGCCTGTCTGTTTCCCACTAAAAGATGGAAGCCTACCTGCAGGTTTTCTTTCTTACCTACTAAAAAAAAGGAGAATGCAGTTAATAGAAAATCACCAGGACTGTTCACTTTCTTTCAACACCCTACTTCCTGTTCAGCTGAGCCCTCACTAGAGTGATTTGGAATTCTAGCCTTAGGCTTGATACCTTAAGTTCTTGAATGCTGCAGTAATTCGTAGGAGCTTTGCCTTCATAAGGTCTGCCCATTGGGGCTGGGAAGATGGCTCAGTGGTAGAGCACTTGCCTTGCATACAGAAGGTCTGCCCCAGAGATGTTTAAGGGTATTTTGCCTAAGTGAGAAAAATCAAAGTTGAGATTAAATTGAGATAAATTTAATGTCCATTGTACCTATTAAATTTCTTAGCAAATATTTAAAATGTAAGACTGGAATAGAACTTGTTTTTTATATTTTTAAGCAATATTAAGAAATACCTGCCTTAGAATATAGGAAATTTACAAATATTGTGGCTCTATGCTTTTATTCTGATAAAAGCAATATTCTGGCATCTGTCTTAAATGAATATGTAAGAAATAAACTTAAAGGCAACCCTAATAGCATTTTTTAAATCACTGAAGTAATGATGTAAACATATCTAAAAATGGGTCTCCTACCATACAAAAAAATAGCTTCTCTGGCCTATAAGTCTAAATTAGATTCATTAGCCAAAGAGATCTAAAATACTTCCCTATTTCCCTACCTCTAATAAAAAAATGTTATATTCACACTTACATAATTTTACCTTAATGTGCATAGTGCTTTTAAATTTCCAAAGTATTTTGACATTTGTTTTATCTCCCTTTAACACAAACAAGGTGTCCTACACTCTACTGATGTACATATAGCACATAAAGGATCAGTGCTTAATTTTGAGTTCTGTGGAGATGAGGTAGTAAATGTAAACTTGGGAAATATACCGTAAGGAATAAATATTTCCACTATTTATGGCCTAATTGCACTCCTTACAAGTTCTCTTGAATGATACTTAATAGAAGTCAGAGTACTCTTGAAATGAACCAAGGAGAGTGATGGAATTAATAAGGCATAGAAGCCACATTCTCCAGACTTAGAAAAAAGAAACATTTCTGGGCACCAGTGGTTTGAAGCCAGCCCAGGCAGCAAAGTTCATGAGACTCTTATCTCCAGTTCACCAGCAAAAAGCTGGAACTGGAGGCATAGCTCAAGATATAAAGTACCAGCCAAACAAGAGTACTAGCAAACAAGATCTCAAGGTTCTGAAATAAAGCTGTAGTACTAACACACACACACACACCCAAAGCTTCGAAATGCTTTAAGTTACAAACATTTATGGAAGGTTTCCATTTATAGAAGTACATATGGAAAATGAAACCTATTTGAATTTTTTCAAAATTAAAAAACTTCAATAGTAGAAATATATATATATATATATACATATCTTCAGTTTAAATATTAATGAGGAAAATCCCTAATGTAGGAATCCTGGGTTCTTTGAATGCTGTTATTGAACTCAAAACAGTCCAATAATATTGCCTGGGGCAATATGTTAGATATGCTAATGTTTTTTCTCTAAATTGTTTCTAAATCATTAGAAAGCTAATTCACTTGAAAATCTAATATTTCTTGAGCTAAACAATATTACTTAAGAATGATCAATGACTTCCTTTACTTGAAAGTATTTTACATGTATTAGTTCTACAAATATGTATTATTTTGATATCATTGAAGGAGGGAAATAGAATTACCATATGGTCCAGCCCATGCCTGGGAGTCCACACCAGTACCTTATTTAATCCTCCCAGTAGCCCATTGACACGTGGAGTAGCAGAGGGGGAGTAATGCCTTGCCTCACAGCTGTTGAACAGCAGCACTGGGACTCAAGCTCTCATCTTCCTGGCTTTATATACTTGTTCTTCTATAGCCCCTGATGGCCTGTGGGCTGCCTCTGTATTAAAATGAAATAAGGTATTGGGATAACAGTTCAACAAACGCTAATTTCTCATGTGCTATAGCCAATTCCTGTTGTATCGGCACACTGAGCAAGGAGAAAATCACAAGTAGCTTAGTGGAAACTTAATTCACTTACAGTTGTCACCAGAATACGCTTTAAATGCAACACTGCAGCCATTATTTGTTGATCCTTTTAGTGGAGACTTGGCAATATTCTTTCCTCCCAAGTTTGCAAAAAGCATTGTATATAAGTGCAGGAATATTCTGTACACAGCAAAATTCTTACAGGGGGTTTTTCTCCAAATAGTGCAAGTGTTACTTAATGACTTCATTT